TGGCCCGCCACCGGTATGGATGCCGCATTATGCAACGGCTGCTGGAGCATGCAAGATGTGAACAGATGAATAGCATGGTCGACAGCCTGCTCACAGAGGCCCTTCAGCTTGTACGACACCAGTATGGAAACTTCGTGATGCAGCGAATCCTTAGCCACGGCACGCCTGCGCAGCAGCGTTCCTTGTGCCAGCTTCTGAGGCCCCAGGCTTGCGACCTAGCCACTGATCAGAATGCAAGTGCTGTGCTGGCAAAGGCATTGATCCACTGCTGTTTAGAAGACAAGATCAGCTTGGCAAACGGGCTGTTGTCGCGGCCGGGGCTTCTGGTTGCCATGTCCAAAACTCGTCATGGCCATCAGACAGCTCTGGCGCTGCTGCATGTCCTGGAGGGAGCCAACCTCACCTCAGCATTGGACGCCTTGAAGAAGGACCTTCCCTCCTTGACCCGTTTGCGCTACGGGCGCGTCGTGCATCTCGGCATCACTTGGCGGATATGTCACTCAGGTTCCAAACCACGTGTGAAGCAAATCGCTCATGCGCCTGAGACAACTCTCGTTAAATGAGGTTGAGGAACATTTCCTCGTTGAGCTGACCACCGCCCGAACAGGGTGACAGGCAGGTTTTTTTTGTTTCATGTCCTGACTTGCACTGAAAATCAGCTTGTTATGCTGCTATGTGTTATGCCAAGGGATTCGCAGAGGAGCACTTCCAGTTCAACTCAGAAGCTTGTTGTGGTGCCATGAGGTTTTCCTGCTCCACCGGAAAAATGGTGCCTGCTGCCTGAAGAGATTGCTGCAGATTCGAAAACTGCTGAAAGCTGAGAGAGGAGAGATAGAGTGCGCTGAATTAGTCACTGGCCGGCCGGGGAATGTGGGACCAAAAGATCCAGCCACATCCTCTTGCTGAGATGGCCGTCCCCTCCGACTGGTGCTTGCATATCTTTCCCGTGACCTGCACAGTCACCTGGGTTGTTGCATGATTTCTACCGGAGGTCCTTCAAATCTTGAAGGCTGTTGGCACTTTGTATAGGCCGCCTCAGTGGCGTGCAGCCATTCTGTCCGGTTCTTTGTTTCAAGCCGCTCACGTAAAGTGTTTCAAGGCCTGCTGTCTGTGCAGACATTGAGCTGGAAGAGCATGCCTGAATGGCATCTCATCCAAATCCTTGCTTTGGAACATCTCTACGGGCAGCACGAGGGTGCCTGCCTCGAAGGGTTCGTGCGTCTGAAGCACGCGCGTGCATGACTGACGGCAGCTTGCCTGAGTGGCACCTGCTAGAATTTTGTCGCGCTTCCAGCTTCCATCTTTCGCTTGCCGAGACACTGGCGAGTTGAACTTGGTGTACAAGTCATTAGCTGGTTCCCCTGCGGTCCTATCCGCAGCTGGGAAATTTTCAAAGACAGCCGGCGACATGTCGCTGTCTGAGTACAGGGTGTGACGGACGTGTGTGAAAGTTGCTGCATTGGCTGCGATGTGGTGAGGGGTTTTGAAGTAATCTGTTGGCAACCCCATGCAAGGCTGACGAAAGATCGCCCTTTCGTGCAGATCCTGCATGGCGAGAATATGCACCCCTGCGACGGGGCACCTGCCCGAGAGGTTTGCACATTTCAGCTTGCGCAGAGCTGAGCCACCGGCAAGCCCCACTGGAATTTTCAGGTGAAAGGCATCGAGAGCCATTCTCGTACACACGTGGGCGACATTTGATTGAGTCACGCGCCAACTGCGCCAGGCTCTGTCCTGCACTGGAAAGAAACCACGGCCTCAGGCAAGGTAGCCATGCTTGCTTTGAGTCAGACAAAATTGGTAACAAGTGTAGCGCAGCCCAACTGGACAAGCCTTGAGATCCGAACCTGGGGCCTCTTCAAGCTATGAGGGCTGAGGCTTCTGTTTTCAAACGAATGTTCCTGATTCTTCCTCATGTTTGCTTGGGCCTAAATCAAAAGCCCTTCTTTTTCCCTTTCTCCTGCCCTCTGACAAGAGGAAATGCTACGTTTTGCCTATTACCCTTGGCCCTGTGAATCTGGAACCCAACCCTGAACCATGTCCGGTCCTGGCAAGCGGGCAAGCCACATCCCATCCTGAGCTGTCCTGGCATTGCCACACAGACTGGGTTGCTGTCAAGGAACTTGATTTACGTTACTATATTGGGGAAACCCTATTATTTACTATATATACCCATTATGGTAGCTTAATTTAAGTTCCTTAACAGCAGCCCAGCAGAGTCCTTGAGAGTTTGGAGGAGATCGGTAGGTTTGTTAGCCAATAAACTTTGCAACGCTTGAAAGAGACGGTGGTAAAGAGACCATCATTGGTTCCCGTCCCGAACCTACTGCGCCATTGTCCTCCCATGCCTTTCTCATCCTCATTCTCGTCGCGGAGGCTTGGAAGAAGGATGCTGAGGGCACAACCCTCAAAGTTGGATGGAGTTCTCCACTGCACACCACGGTGGTTTAGGCTGTGGGGTTTGGGGTTGTTTAGCGTTTAAGTTGGGGTGCTTGTAAGTGGTTGAGGTTTAGGGTTGTTCAGGTCAGTTGAAACAAACAGAGTTTGTGATAAGCAGCGAGAATCGGGTTCAGCAGCTCGACTACATCAAGCTGCTTGCCTCAAGAAGCGTAGGTTTAGCAGCTTCGAGTAGGTGGGCACAAGTCGTTCACATCCACCCGCGAGGCATTTATCCAGGCTCAGCTTTGTGAAGACCAACTGTGCTTTCGCGGACGTAGATTAGGTGAAGCTTGGTGTGATGACAGCTCGTCCTTGATCTCCTGCTTGGTTGAGTGCACGTTTGGGCTCAGCAAGCGTGCCATCTCCTCTGAAAGTGACGACTGGACAGGGCTGGAGCCATGATCCCCGGCAACTTCGTGCAATCAAGCGGCGCCATGGCCGTTCCGGTGATCGGAGCTATCTGCAGCCCCATGCCGGTGCTGATGTGCCCACCTTCTGGTGTTGCGCCTGGTCTCAAACAATCATTGAGCTGTTTAATCCTTGGCTGAACGTGCTAGAGCACGAGCATTTGCCACTCTGCAACAGATTCGAGTTGCCATCTGAGGCTTTCATTGTGAACGTACAGGGAGGGTGGCTTGGCTCAAGTCGAGCACGCTGTGTGGGTTAGACCTAAACTTTCATGGCAGAATGGTGTAATTTAGTTGCAGTCTGCTTTCACCATGCAGCCAGGCAGCCAGTTGCCTTCACTCCGAATGCTGTGCCAATCATGGCGCAGCCAGTACAGCCGCCACCGCTGAGCCAGCCACACCAGGAAATGTGCTGTGCAAGCCTAGGGAGCAGATGGTGAGCAGCAGCAGCAGCAGCAGCAGCAGCAGCAGCAGCAGCAGCAGCAGCAGCAAGTACGGCACACTACAGCTTTGAAACCTTTGAAGAGGCTTTTTCCCTGCACTCCCACCCGTTTGTTGTGGCTGGGCTAGAGGTGTGGCATTTTCTTTTCATTAGAGCTTGTTCTAGATCGCAGCACTCTTTGTGCTTGGGGCCTTTGTCACTCAGTGTGAAACCATTCGCGAATTAGTGCGGCCGTTTTCCTGCATAGTGAAATTTCCGTGAGATTGTTTAAAATCAAAATCCTGTCTTGCATTGAGCCCAGGACTTGTATGTAGGGTGGGCATTAGCAGGCGCAACTGCCAACATGTTTTTTTCGTTTCAGGAGCATTTCCATGAGATTGCCGCAGAACATGACATCTCACGCACAAAATTCCACTGATGTGTAGAAAACATTTGTAGCGCTGATGACGATGGCAATGGATACGCAGGCCTGCAAGCATGCTTGGGCCATCCCATGCAAGCACTTCTTTCGCAATAAAAAGCCTGGTCAGCATTACCAGCATGGCCTTAATTGCGTTTCGTGGGAGTGATTCCGCCATGTCAAACATGTAAACCAGTCAGTGCAAACTTACTTTCACTATGCAACTCTGGTGTAGTGTAGACACGATAGTTATTCCTTGTCTATAGGACACCGACGCCGAGACATCAAGTCTGCCACCGACACCTTCCGGAAGCTGCTTCAGCCGAGTGCCAACTGGGAGCACGACCGCATCAGCGTCTTCCTTTGGGAGCTCCTTTGGACGTGAACTTTCTGAGAGATCGATGACCCCCGTGGGACCAGTGTTGCCGCCGACTCCCGAAGCAGGCTCTGTGAAAGGCCGTGTGTGGCAGCTCTGCCAGAAGCAGAACGGCTGTCGTCGTGTTCAGGAAGCCATCGACGCATGCGGCTCTGACCAGGAGCGAGCCGCATTGGCCATGGAGATCGTGGGACATGTTTGGGAAGCTGTTCGCTGCCCGTTTGGAAATTACGTCGTACAGAGGTTTATCACCCTGCTTCGGCCCCGTGACTGCCAGTTCATCATTGATGAGATCTCATCACAAGGCAGACGAGCGGCGTCGCAGTTGGCCCGCCACCGCTATGGATGCCGCATTATGCAACGGCTTCTCGAGCACGTTACATATCTGCAAATGAACAGCATGGTTGACAACCTGCTGAGAGAGGCCCTTCAGCTTGTGCGACACCAGTATGGAAACTTCGTGATGCAGCGAATCCTTAGCCACGGCACGCCTGCGCAGCAGCGTTCCTTGTGCCAGCTTCTGAGGCCCCAGGCTGCGACCTAGCCACTGATCAGAATGCAAGTGCTGTGCTGGCAAAGGCATTGATCCACTGCTGTTCAGAAGACAAGATCAGCTTGGCAAACGGGCTGTTGTCGCGGCCGGGGCTTCTGCTTGCCATGTCCAAAACTCGGCATGGCCATCAGACAGCTCTGGCGCTGCTGCATGTCCTGGAGGGAGCCAACCTCACCTCAGCATTGGACGCCCTGAAGGAGGACCTTCCCTCCTTGGCGCGCTCGCGCTACGGGCGCGTCGTGCCTCTCGGCATATTCTTGGTGGATTTTTTTGTCTAAGGGGATGTGCCCAGGTGCGAGCAGCGCAGGTGGATGCAGGTGGTGTGTAACCGCGCCCGGCCCATGGGGCTGGGGGCCTGCAACGCCAGCCCTGAAGCTTTAAAAAAACATTCCCAAAAACCATGTCGCAGAATGTATATGGTAAAGGGACCGCGGTTTTTCAACAGATTTGCAGAAAGGGGAGGGGCGGGGGATGGCGCGCCGCCCCTGCCCAGCCCACCCTTCCATGGTAGCGCTCTGCAAATGCCTCTGAAACCGAGCGCGTAGTTGCAGTACCGTTCAAAGCCTTCTTCTGACTTACACTCGTTGTACAGCTTTTGTGCTGTAAACCGCCAAAACCACCCTTGAATTGGTTTGAATACTGGAATACTGACACAAAGCAGCATGAATGGAATTCCACTCCACCTGAAAAGCCAGCATGGAATCAGAAGCTACAGACACTGAGGGGTTGGAGGCCCAAAATCAAGGAAAACCATAAGACACCATTGAAAAACCTAAAGCACCATACGCTTATCATTTTGAAATGGTCGTTCTATGTTGTTGTTTTGAATTGTTTTTGGTGGATCTTCAAAGGTTTTCATGGTGGAGGCTTCAAAATCAAAGGTGTTCTATGGTTTTTGGTTGATTTTCGAAGGCTTTCACCGGGTGGAGGCCCCAGAATCAAGAAA